CCGCCCGGGGGGAAGCCAGGAGAGGCGGCGCGCGCGCCCCGGGGCTTTCGGAGCAGCGGCGCGAGGTACGAGCGGGGGGCCGCTGGCCGGGGAAGGGCGGCCGGGCGCGGGGCACGTCGGGGCGGCCGTGGCCTTGGGGCTGCGCCTGCCTCTGTTGGCGGAGCTTCCTGTGCGCAGCTCCGGGCTCCCGCGCCGGAACGGGCGGTGTTCGCGGCGGTTGCACTGGGGCGATGAGGCAGACCTCGGCGGCGCCGGGAAAAGGTGCCGTAGAGACACGTGGTCCGCGGGTGCAGGCGGAGGCCTTTGTTTTGCTGGTGGTGGTGTCTCCTAAGTGGAGGAGTAGGCGTTGCCGGGGGGTGTACTACCGCTGGAGCGTCTCGATTCCTTTCTTCGTGGTTTTGATGAAGTCTTTTCTTGCTCTACGGTTCTTAATGCGCTCACAAAATCAGACCTTAGTCCTGCTTTCTCAGTCTTTTTCTGAAGGGTGCTTCCTGACCTCCCTCGCGTGCTCAGTCTTAGACTCACTGCATCCCTTTGGACGTGGTCGTTGGCAAATGCAAAGGGTACGCACCCTTCTGTCATCCACTTCTTGTCTTAGTACCAAAATCCGCCAAACGAGATAAAAATGTATTTCTTGACCCAAAGCCAGGGAGTCCAGAAGAGCCTCTGTTTTCAGACTTTCAGGGCTTCCAGGATTGCGCTTTCGCTGCTGTTTTACGTGGTCAGGGATTGTGTCTCTTTGTATCCCCAGTGCCCAGCACCATACTTGAAAGAAGGGAATGATCAGTAACGTGGAAACATACCCACTGCTCCTCTAATTTAAATCACTTAATTATACATTGTATGTATATTTGATTCTTAGTCTTGAGTGACTGAATTTAAAATGTATTTCTTAAAAGGTTTATTTACTTTGGACAGAGTTGCTAGTGATTAGATCTTCCACAGGATCTGTGAGAAATTAATAGTAATTCAGAACTGTGACCGTGTAAGATATAGCGGTGTCTTGTAAGAATTTACCATTTGGTTTGGAATTAAACAGCTAGCTCCACTACCTAGAAAAACCAGAGTTTGTACAATTGTATTTGTATTACAGAATCGTGGGAATTGTCTTACTATTAACACTCTAAATGACTTATTTATATCATTCTTTGAATTTCAGTTTTAGGGCTTCTTTTCAGAGTGAGGATAACCTTTTTCAAATAGTACAAGCTGATTAATTTACCTTTGTCAGCTTGATGCAAACAATTCCATCTTCTCATCCTGTCTGTGACCCGAGTACACTGAATGGGAGTCACAACAACAATCACAGCCACTTGCTTCATACTCTCTCTCTCTCTCTCTCTCTCTCTCTCTATCTATCTCTCATGGAGCATTCAGCTTTTTAAAATTATACCTAATGGTCTCTTTATAATTTTAAATACTTGAGTGCCATGGGTTCAGAAAGCTAGTCTTTATATATATGATAAGAGGTATTAATTTCAACCCAGCTGCTTCAGTCCCATTTGATACAGATTGTAATTGTATAAAAGTAAATATTTTTTAAATTTTATCTTTGAAAGATGGCGCTAATCATGTCAGGATAAGGTTGTGTTTTTGACACCCTCTTGGCACTGAATACCATATCTAGAGGTTGAAAAACGCCTGTGGACTGGTGGGTCTCGGGTGGGGAGGAATTCGGACAGTGTGTTGATGCTTATTGGTGTCTCTTTTCTCTTCTAGGACCAGCAGAGAGAAGAGATTCCATCTTCCAGAGGTTGCCACTGTCTGCCTCCCCACTTGTCCCCATCCTCAGTCATCTTTTTAAAATATATAATGACACATTAGTTGTCTAGTTCTTCAAGTGAATGTGATTTAAGTCTGACATCATTTTTATTGCCATGACATTTGAACCTTAGTGTTGTTCTCACTTGCCTTAAGTTTTACAGACTCTTTCCCAGTGCTATTGGCTGTTTTAAATTAACAGACTCATCACCAGTTTTTTTTTTTTTTCCAGCTAGGGCTTTCAATGAAGAAGTATTTTTGATTATTTTTTCATGTTATGACTATATATATTTTTGACGCCTGTAATAATGGAATATATTAAATACATTTTTAGTGGAGGAGATTTAAAAAAAAATAAATAGAATGTCAAGAAGTACTGTATAATGGAATTTGGAAGTTACAAAATCTTGAAGTATCATTTAACATTGTCTCCATGGTTTCCTCTTTAAAATTTGCAGTGAGGTTTTTCTTCCTTTTTGTGCGTGAGAAATGAGATCTTATTAGTTGGGGGAAAACTAATTAATGTCAGCTAAATAAATAAGCCCTTTTATTTGCTGCAGTTTGTTTCTTGATGTGAATGACCTACTCAGGCAAAAAGTTAAAGTAAAAAAATATGTATTAGCCATTCATTTTTTTCCATTTTGCTGTGCTGTGTGAGTTGTTTACAATTCAAAATGTCCATGGGTAATAATCATCCTGGCAGTTTTCTGCCCAGTGGTTCTCCGTGTGTGGAGTTTGGCAGTAGCCTATTCCATTTGGGGAGGAGGTTGCAGAACTTATACAAAGTAGATTTGAAGATACTCTGCAACACAGGGACTTTCCCAAACCCTGTTTTAGATCATCCTACCTGGACTACTTATTTTAATTAACTAAATGGATTTTCCTTGTTTATCTTGTTCAGTAATTCCTCAAATCATTAATTTAGTAGATTCTCTTTTTTCCCTTCTACTATTCTTTTTTTTTTAACATTTGTTAAATTTTTATACTGCCTACAGCTCTTTATGGAAGCTTCACCTTTCTTTATGTATCACTGCCAGTGCTTTATAATTTTTGCAGCTAGACTACATTTAAAAATAGTCTACATTTTGGAGTTAGTAAAAGATACTGGCTTATGTTATTTAAGTATTTCTGTCTTTTACAGTAGGTACATGAGTTTCATAAGAAAAAGACAAATTTTATGAGTAACTGTTCATTTTTCTATAAGCTCTTCTCTCTAATAGTTAATATTTATTTCTCTGTGGTAGAATTGTTTGATTTAAAGACCCTTTTATCCTCATGTGAAGTTTGAAGGAACCAGACTCCAGGAAGACCATCACTCAAACTGATTTTTTTGTAGACTGATTTATCCAAGATAGAGTTAGTCCTAAAGACTTGCAAAGGCAGTTTCTCAAAATCATATTCTGTTTTACTGGCAAAGATGATAATAGGGTTTTTGTATTTTACTGCTTTACCTATTCTAAGGAAGTATAATAGCTCTCTGGCTGCAGTTTTGCTTTCTAAACAATTCTTATGTCATTTTAAATTTAGAAACTAGGTGTTTCACTATTTGATGTCTCATATCTTAGTTTTGTTTTTGTTTTTGACTCTGTCACTCAGACTGGAGTACAGTGGCCGCTCCACTCCCGGCCACTGCAGCCTCCACCTGCTGGGCTCCAGCGATCCTTCTGCTCCAGCCTTGCAAATAGCTGGAACTACAGGCATGCGCTGCCACGCCTGGCTAATTTTTGATTTATTGTATAGATGAGGTCTCGCCAAGTTGTCCAGGCGGGTCTCGAACCTGCAGACTCAGGCAGCTGCTCACCTCGGCCTCCCAAAGTGCTGGGATTACAGGCTGAGCCACCAAGCCTGGCCTCATATCTTAGTTTTATTTTCTGTGTCCCAGCTGGTCAGAAATAGTGTGTTCTCATTTAAAGTTTCCAAAACCAGGTTTTGATGAAAATGGATCAGTCGATGAAAAATAAGAGACTAATATTAATCTCAGATTTTGTTAGTCAGTCATGGTCTTAGTAATTTATAATTTTTTAAAGAACTGAGTCTTTGTTTTTCAAATGTTTTGAAGTTCTCTTATTTCATGTTATTAGCCTGATGGGATGATAAAAACAACAGAAATAAGAAAAAAACAACAGATAATCTTTCATGGTTCCATGGAGCCCAATGAAGTTTTTAAAAAACAGTTTAATAGATAATTAAGTTGTGGAGGGAGGTTTAAAGAGAGTAGCTTGGGCAAAATTTGATCTATAGAGTAGGATAAATTTAAACAATGATTAGTAATAAATGAAATTTGCTATTAAGAAGTGCAATTTGGACCAGAAGAAACACAAAGCTGGAAAATTTGATGGTCAGAATGGAACATAATTCAAACCTAAATTAACAGTAATGTCAAAGATTCAGGACCAGATATTATCCAAGAAGAAAGACTTAGCCAGCTGTTCCACTTACCATTACATCATAAGCAGTTTCTGTGTTGCTGTTGTTTTCATTAATTTAAATGGTTGCATTGCATAACATTAAATCAATTGACCATAACATACCTAACCATCTTTCTAGTTTTTGGAAAATATGTAATAGTTTACTCTCAGATTCAGGTCATATTCTAGTCAGCATCATGCCAAACAGGTTTGTTCACTTAATGAGCTGAACTCTGTAGGTTTCTATAATTAACGCTCATGAAAGAGTGTGCCTAGAACCAAAGACTAGCTGAAGATTCACAATTTTAAAGTGAGGAAATATATATATTTATAATATATATATATAGTTTATATAGTTTACAAAACATGTCCCCTCCCCCTAGGCTATTTATGATTAAGTTTGCAGTGAATGACACCTTGTCTTTAAGTAATTCAATTGTTATTGTTGAGAAATACATTTTTATTCATCTCTAAGGAGCCTTTAGTGATAAGCACATCGCTGAGATTTTTCACATGCAGTATGTCTTAATCCTTACAATTGAAGTAGACACTATAACTATTCTTAATTGACAGATTGGGAATTTGAGGCTTAGAGAACTTCAAGTTAACAAAGTAATTAAATGGTGAAGACAAAGTTTGAACTCACACGATCTTTCTAGTGCTCTACAGTTTATAATTGTTGACTTATCTCACTGTCACCTTTCCCTTTTTTTGAAAACATGTATTACATTTTGTGGAACTTTTGTGAATCTAGAAAGCTAATTTTTGCATGTAAATTATAGAAATAATTTTGTCAGATTTTTTTGGTTTCAAGTTGTTCTTAACTTAGGACCTTGAGTGGCCTTCAGGGTCCTTAACCTAAATGGGAGTTCACTAACTTCTAATAAATGTAGAATTTTCTTCCTTTGTCAGTGTTGGCAACAAACCACAGTTATATTAGCAGTATTTATGACATTGCCAACAAAAATCACAAATACCTCAAAACATTGTATATGCTTATCACTACTTTGATATGGTAGTTATTAGACCTGCCCTAGATCTTGTTTCTTAGTGCTTTAAAAAAAAGTGGTAATATTTTAGTCAATCTGGCTTCCCTTGTAATCTTATGTACTTTATATTGAACATTTAAAAGGATTGTTCTGAGAAGGACACGTTTCAACAGATTGACCAAGTGGTCCCTTGGCACAAAGCTTAGCATCTTAGATTCTTTCTGGCAAAATTAATTTAAAAACACATTTGTTGTTAAGTAGTTACTGCATTCTAATTTACATGTTAATGTCCAGAAAGAACAAGTTACAAAATTCAATATCAAAAAGAATCATATATAATGAAAAGAGGTTGCTTGCTTTTTATTGATTTGCAAATGTGTAATTTCGGGTAAAATTACTTCAAGCTGTGAGTAGAACATTTGGGGTGTGAAATGAAATGTTTTTTTAAAAGGCCAGAGACTTAACATTCACAAAAGCATTTATTTTAAAAGCATACCTCAAAAAGCTCCCTAATACTGGTGATTGATTGGTTTTATTCCATATGTAATTTTGCCCTGTTTTCTTTGGGTTTTGTCCTGTTTTCTTTGGGTATTGTTAGTTCAAATACAAGATATCAAAGATATGCTTGAAGATATAAAGCAATTAAACTGTATGTTAGGACTTGGGGAAAACTTTGAATTGCTAATAATGTTATTAGGATTTTTCATCTTTACAGAGCACAAAATGGTTCATTGCAGCTCTGGTTAAAATTGTGAGTAAAGATGAGCTTGAAACCAAGATGTACATTTGCAAAGTATACAAATTAAATAAACTGTTGATCCTAACTAGGTCTTATTTGTTATTATTTTACTATTTTGTGAAGAAATATTTTGATATACAAGAAGTGATCCCTCCCCCTTGTTGCTTTGCTCTGGTTTATTAAATACTTCATTTGGTTCTAGTAACCATAGATTAAGATGGTTACAATTTATTTTCTAGAAATATAGGTAAATAAGCTCATAGGAACAGCACTAGGCGATGGTGACTTTCTGGTTTCATGTTGCTCCTGGTTATCTGAGTATGACTTTATCTCTTATTTAGCAGCACCTAAGAGAGAGAGCCATTTTTCAAGCCAGCCCATAAACCTTCAACCAAATCCTCTTATCGATTGTAAGGTCAACAGAGGGTATTCCTCTTATATAGATGAAATTGCATGCCTTTGAGAGCAGTTGAGTGACTTGCTTAACCTCAGTGTAGCTACTCATGGCAAACCAGGGCAGACACTTGGGACTTCTGGCATCAGGTGCTGTCTTGTTACCCTCCCCACCCACATTGTGCTATGATTTATTGCTTCCCAATGAAGCCACGTGTGTGGCTAGCCCAGCCTTGAGGAGAGAATAATGTATTGGAAGGGAGGACTCCTTTTCCTGCCTTCACATTTCTGCCTTTGTGGGAAACATCACCCTAGCAAGGGGTTAATTGTGTGAACAACAGCGAAGGGGTCAGATTGACTGTACTCTGGATGTGTGTTAATGGCAAGGTGACTATACTTTTTTTTTTTTTTTGAGTTGGAGTCTCACTCCATCACCCAGACTGGAGTGCAGTGGCTGCTCCCG